TAGATTTAATTATAAATATGAACAAAACCTATTTGCAAGGTATCCCAAACATTTCTTGATATATGTACATCATTAATATAAATTATACTATCCTATCTATTTCATTCTGTGCACGTCGAGACAATGAATTGAATTGTTGATATTAAAGTGTTAAGGTTATAAATTGGACCTCTCAGCGATAGTGAAAAAAACTGGCAGATTTTTTTAAGGTTTCCTTTATGGTCTGATTTTACTTTCTTCAACATTTTAGGAAATATGATTTATTATAATTTATAGGTATTATTTATATATATATAAATATATATAAAGGTATTATATTATAGGTATTATATATAGGTATTATATATTATATTATAGGTATTATTTATATATATATAAATATATACAAAAATATATATTATATATATTATTCTATAATAAAAATAATGTTATAATTTTATAAATATATATAAAAATAATAATGTAAATATAAACAGTATTATAATATTTTTATAGCATATCCTATGTTTTATATCATTATACGATAATTATATTATTATTATTTTATAAATTATTTATTTTACAATATATAGAATAATATATTTATACAATATATAGCAGAACTTACGGTTCCGGGTTCTATATCAATTCTGCTACATGTGCCGAGTCGAATGATGAGTGGAAGATTGGGAATAAAAAATTTTGATTTTTTACATTTTCAGTTCTTGAACTTAATAATTTTCCATAGATCTCCAAAAAGGACTCCTTTCAATATAAATAATTGATTAATCAAATCAAAGCACAATTTTAGAACCCGAAAGTTGTTCATCTTTATAGATTGATTATAAGAATAATTGTTTGGTTTATGTTATGATAATGGAATCAGCTAATACATAATTGTACATTATATTTATCAGTGTAATTTATTATGTATTTAGAAAAAAATGCAATTGCGAAGAGCCCTTATAATAATGATCATAATCCGAAATTATTGCAAAATATAAGATTTATAGAGCGCCTATGAGAAGAATAAATTAATCGAATCAATCCGAATATCCATAATCTCGGAAGCAGTATTTAATATGTTCTACTAAATAATATTATCATAGTTTAAAAATCATAGTAAATAATTTTGTATGGATTAGACTAGATCTAAGATCTCAAATTTAAATTATTTTCATCTAAATATTTCTTCTTAATCCGTAAAAGAAAAAAAATTGTTTTTTATATATATAATGATATTTATTAAAATGCACTTATGGATGTACAATATGAGACATATAAATTTATATAAAAAATCCTGATATTAAATCAAATGTTATAGAACAAAAGTCAGGTGTGCATTCTTTCCGTCCCGCAGACATCTAATTGGGATTGAGTTTCATTTCAGCAATAGCCGCATTAAAACGAGATGGCTGGCGTTGTTTCTCTTCCACAAAAATTTTGAAGTGACCTTCTCCAAATCCAAAGCTACGTATAGTTTTACGTAGAGTTGATGGTACCAATGTGAAGCGCTTTACAGGAGCAAGCGAAGATGGTGGTGTTGAAGTGATACAGCGTTCTTGGCAACGATTTTCCGGAGTACAATTAGAATTTTTACAGGTTTTCTCCTCAATAATGCAAAAGAGTTGAATGAACTTTTGCAATATGTAAATAAAGCAAAATATGAAGATATTGGTGAAGAACAAATATCTACGCGGTGCAAGAATCATGACTGAAACTTTACTAAGCGATATAGCTTCAACTGGTATATTTACTGGATATGTCTTATTAAACGATGATATTACAGCGAGTGACATTTACTTGACTGATATACACAAGGAACTGAAGAACTACAAGAAAACGAAGTGGCACTTATATACCGAAGTAAACATATTAAAAAACAAAAACACGAAGTGAGGATTGCAGGTATCACAAAAGTGGACAAATAATCAGACATGGCGGCGTCATCATCACATGGAACTTCTGCGGCAGTATACCTACAATATACGATGAGGGAAATTAATACATACAAATGTAATTCAAAAAAAATAAACAGGTAAATTGTGGTGACATCTTGCGTGGATCAAATGAAGCTGAGTTCATATAAGGCGTATGTGTATTCCATATGGTACGTGAATTTAAGAAGTGTACCCTTAATAATTTTATGATAAGATAAATATTTATGATATTGTTTTTTGTAAAATAAGAACGATAAGTAAACAAATTTGTTTACTAATAATTATTTTTCATTTGAAATTATTTTTAGTGTTTTGTATTAAAATTTTTTTACTGATAAGAACAGAAATTCTTTAATTTCTTTATTATTTGATTTTGTTTATATTATTTTTTATTGACGAATAGATAGGAGTAAAATACTCTTCGTATATAAATATTTTTATATCTTAAAATACGAGCATAGCCTTAATAATCAGTAAACACTACCTAACTTATTTCTCCTGAGACTCTTCAATACGAAAATGCACTCATCAATTGACAAAAAGGACAAACTTGAACTGTTCACAATCCAACCCAGATCCATATTTGCATTGGCAAAGGATACGTGGAACATCAAAAACTTCGCAATGCTTTTGGCTATAAATCTAGTCAATTTGTTTTTGTTATTAGGTTCTTTAGGAAAAGTTTCGGTATTTATTTATTCCTTTGACATTTGTTTACTCAAGTCTGCGACTCATTGCAGCTGAAGTGTAATGAACAGAATTTTAATGCTTCAAGCAACCACAAACGCATCAGTGAATTGATTTCCCATAAATCAACCGAAATACGAAATCTCTATTATATTTATGATAGATACTCATATATTTACATCCATAAATATAAGCATCAATACCAAAAATCAACGGATTTTCAGGAGTTGTGGGTTTTTTTTTGTGCTCAGTGTAGTTCATAATTATTTTCCACTCCTTTTCAGACAATTCCTTACCACTTCACTAAATTCCACTAAATTCGTTTTTATTTTTAGTGAAATTTTTAAAATATAAAGGATCAAGGTAAAAGCATAAAAAATTTATAATTTTTATGTTTTTTGTTTAATAGTACCAAAGCACGTAAAAGCCAAATTGATTACTTGGATTTAGTCTATTTTACAATAATAAATACTGAATATTGATTAATTTGGAATAGTTAATCTCAAATATATATAAATACATGTAATCGTGTGTATACAGGATATTAATTGCGTGATTTTATTTTACTTGTCAACGATTAGCGAACTCATGGAATCGGCACTTGCTGGTTCAGGGGTTATTCCTACTAAGACAGAGCTTGTCCTATTCAGAAAACCAAAATACCTACTTTCATCTTACCCAGACTGTATGGAATTGCACTGAACCTTTCCTCGGAGGCTTGATCGCCTCTCTCTGTAAAATCTTTGAAGGCATCACAATAGGCAATATATACCTCCTAGTGGAAGTGCTGATAACTGTTAACATGCGCCTTCTCAACTTAACCTACCCTATAGTGATTTATCGGCATATTTGTAAAATTTAATAGTAAGTTCCTCTACAATAAAATCTTATAATAACTTAACGCATTTAGTATAATGATATGATTTAAAATACCAAGAACTAATGCTTGTAGCATATTTACCTAACATTAGAGAATCATTATTGTAATGATAATGACAAAACTATCAATATATAATTATGTATTTATTGAGGCATTCAATGATGAAGAAAAATAAAAGTGCTTCTATAGAGCATTATATATATGTATATGAGAGGCTTGCCTAGCATAATGCCTGACTATTGAAAATTTCTGAAAAATACTTTCTGTCACATAAGCATATAACAATTAATTACAATTAACAGTTAATTAATGATACGGCATAATATTATATTAGCTTATCTATCGACATACTTTTGTTTCCTACTGAGTACCAATCGAATAGAATTTCTTTCTAAATAATAAATACAAAACTGTTTAAATAGTCATTGTTTTAATTCGTAAATAAATTACGTTTTGAGCAGCAATGGTGCTCTATTACTTCTTATTAGTAATTAGTTATAAGTATTATTAATAGTAATAACATTCACAGGTCCAGTTCCGTGTGTGAATCGTGCTCACAGAACATGAAAAGGGGTATGAAGAGGCATAGCATATATATATGTAAAATATATTTAAATAGCCTTTCATCAATGTAAAAATATTGCACTATATAAGACAAGTAGGACATAATAAAGTGGTTACACCTTCAAACAAACCAACGTATATTAATGATATCTCCAGCTAATGGAAGTAATAGGTTAGGTTATACCGGCGATAGTTAGTGGATCCACTTAGGCCTGTTGACCCATTGTGTTAAATGGGAGTAATAACTGGTTTCTGGTTTTCTGGAAAACCGCTGGCAAGAATGAAAATGTCTCACAAGTATACTTTACACTTTGCCAAAGGCAGCTTTGTTCTAGAAATTATATATGACTTATATTAGAAGAGGCTCGAAAATTTCAAAAAGTAAACAGTGCAGATTTCACAGTCTCAACTTTCCCAGATTATTATTGACGGTACTGCTTGTATAGTTGCTTCTTGCAGTTACATCTTATGTTTTATTATTATGTTGAAGCTATTTTAGCCAATGCACTTGAGTACTTTTACTCTTTATTAACTCGAGGCATCTTCAAAACCCCTCTTTACGCCTTCACTGGATTAATATTTATCACTTCATAAGACTAAGCAATAATTGACTTTAGATCTACATACCTCTCCGAGGAGCCTGTAACCATCCTATGTTTTACTGATGTAAAGATGAAGTTAAAAATAAATTCAGTAATGGTTACAATATTTAATATATAAAAATATGTTGTGTCTTCAATATTAAAATTTAATTAACTAAATTATATATATATTTTAAGTTTCTATAATACTGTTAAAGGAATATATGCATACCTATATGCACTACATCAACATCTTAAATTCATTAAACAATAATACAAACTTTTTTGGGTAAATAATTATAATTTAAAAGAGTGCTGTTTATTACCTTTATTGTGCTATTATTACTTACTTTAATGTAATTTTTATTAGTTTCAACTATATATACGAATTAAACATATTTGCAAGATATGACAAGCATTGCTTGATATATATCATTAATATAAATTATAGAATAATTGAAGTATCGAAGCCATTCCATGCTGTGCACTTTAATTTAATGAATTAAATTGTTGGTATATAAAGTGTTAAGAATATAAATTGAATTTCTCTGCGACGGTGAATACCACAATCCATAATAGTATTTACAGTAATCAGATACTAAAATATTTTATCATTTTTTAGTATACAGATATATACTTAATGGATTATGCACAATTGGATTTAGATACTTTGGTGTTAAGTACTTCTGAAAGTATCTGATGCTTGTTTTGAATGACAATAAGAGAGCTTCAATTAGTTAGCTGTATACATAATTAAAACATGGACAATTCTATATATGACTTAAGTAAAAAAAAGATATGTATTATATACCCATACATATATATACATATACATATATCTATACATAAAAAAGATATTAAATTTAATGTTTGAAGTCGACGAGATGGTTTTAGTTACTTTTTTTTTATATCTTAAAATTTTTTGCAAGCAATATAGTGGTTCAACGATAAAAAAATCTTTAATTGAGACCAGCAGAAAGTTATCTGCTCAAGTTTGAATCTCACAATCACGATTAATATATCGAAACTTTATATATCGATCATTCAATTTATCAGTCAACGTGCACAAGATTAAGTGGATAGAATTAATTGGATCATTCTATAACTTATATGAATCATGTAACATATATTAAGCTATGCTTTTTACCTCTCACAAATATGTTTTTTTTTATATTCATAGTCGAAACTATATAAAATTTAATAAACGTGAGTATTAATAGTAGTAATAATAATAGTGAATAATAAAAATGTTAATGAATAACACTTTTTTAACGCATGCTATTGCACTTGTTGACCTGCTATTGGAATCAATCAACCATCCAAATAAGGGTTGAACTTGAACTCTTCTAAATTCCAAGCTCCGAGTCAGGGTTTAATTTTCCAACTGACCGAAAGGCGTATTTGACTTGTTTTTTAATATAATATTTTTCATTAATATTATTTTCCAATATTTTGACTATTTTTAGGGGTCATCTCAGAGGATTTATTTACTGAAGAGGATTAATTAGTCTGCTCCATAATTGATCTTTAATTGTTGGTGTTAATTTTTTATTTAGTATTCTTGATTGAAACTGTTTTCCGTTATTGCGACTAACTTTGGTAAACATCTGTTCACTGAAGAGGATCTATAAGCCCATTCTAAAATAAATACCTAATTGTTGGTCATAAAAATAAAAATTAACCGATTCAGTAATATCACTATATCTCATTGTCTTTATGTTAAACTAAAGTAGTCTTTTTTAAAGCTAATCTATTGAGAGTTTAACAACTTTTTGGAATACATATATGAATGTGAATGTGTATTAAACAATTTTGATAGACAAGCTGTTAGTGTTTATATTGATGATGTCAGCTTTACTAAGCCCATTGATGGTATTCTATATAACTGATAAATTTCATACCGGCTTTTTTATGGCACTAAGTTTCAATATCACAAAAAATTGTATTCAATCAAATTATTGTTCATGCAGCTGAATGTCACCTAAGTGGGCAATCATTTGGAATGTGGCTTAACGAGTTGAAGATTGTACCAAAAAACATGATTTAAACAATTTTAAAAAATTAAAAATTCATATAAAATACTATTTTGACTGCTATTTTATTTTTAGCAAAGTTAACACATTTTTTCTGTTTTTAATATTTACTTTTGATATTGAATATCTGCCTTTATACGTCTTTCATTGGTAGTTGTTTTACTTAAATTAATTATTTTATATAAAAAAAATAAATGCTAAAAGCCTCTGTGCTTGTGTGAAACACAAAATCTTTAAATAACTATGCACTTAAAACCCTTTTTAAAATCCATTAACTTTTGTAACGAAATTCATTTGTGGCAGTAATCAATTTATTGAGCTTTGGATACCTAAGGGTACAAAATATCACTGGTCCTTTATAATTATTACAATAAAAATACAAGCTATACATTGAGCTACAAGTTTGCGACGAGTAACACACAAATTTTAAACAAAATTGAACAATTTTTCAACAATAACTTAGTTATAGCTTATATCATCTTCACCGTAATCCCACATCGATTCATCATCTTCATCATTGCTTTCGGCACCCACATACTCCTCCGCCTCAGGACACGACGCACAACGACTTTCATTGATGCCATAATTGAAGCAATGCGCTCCTACACACTCACAGCAGCCATCGTGGAACCAACGATAACTGTTGGCTCCCATACTCTCGCAGTAATAGGCGCACTTTTTGTTGCTTTTGCAGACGTGTAAGTAAATGACTGTGCAATTGATGGAGGAAGAAGGCAACTTTTGTATTGCAGCTTGTCGGTCAATTGCATCCCCAATAGTAACACTAGCATCGCCGTCAATATCGACACCAAAGCTACCAGCCAAATGCTTCAGTCCAGCGTGTTTCGGCATACGTACCACCGTCCATTGCTCGTCATCATCTTCTGCGGTTAATGTTTCGAAGAGTTCGGGCACGCCATCGAAGTCGCCAATTTGTGATTTCGGCGAAAGTGCACTTAGCGTTTCGTTGTGCTTAGGACACATGTCGACACAACTGCAGCATTCCGTGTAAAGGTCACCGAGACAATTAAAACAGTCTTTACAGCAAGAGCAGTCACTGAGCTTACATTGACAACTCTGCGTCAAAAGGCATTTGGAGACAACTGAACCACAAACTAATTCATTGCATCCCTCACCGTACGCCGCAACGATTGCGCCATTGTAGCTGTGGAGCAAAAGTAACGCTAACGACCACAAAGCGTACTTATGCATTCTTCCGAGCTTTTATGTCTTTGATGATGCGGAAAGTACGGAAAAAATTTCGTTTTGACGAAAATTCTTGACTCGTTCGATAACAACCAAAAAAGTATCTTATATCTTTCACTCGCTTGCACCAACGCGCTCAATGTTGTCACTCGAAAGGTTGACAATAAACTGAAACGTGTTTTTCTAATGCCAAACATTTTTCATAATTGAGACAAAAGGAAAACTTAAACCCTAACATGAACACACAAAAAAAAACTATATAAAAAATACAAAAAAAATCTATCTCAAAAGGTTTTTCAAAAGGTCAAATTAATTTAGAATTTTTGCCGTTCTTTTTCTCTGCCATTTCCTTCCAGTAAATGCCCACACCGTACACAGGTAATCATTTCTGAACAGCACATTGGGTCCCTTAAAGCCAATCTTGTAATCTGAGCCGTTTTGCTCAGATACTTCGCATAACAAAGTAACAGTTTCGGTACGCCGTTCTTGCTATTCTCATTGCCGTTGTTGTTGCTGTTGTTGTTGTTGTTGTCGGCGCGTATGTCTCCGCCTGTTGATTGGCGTTAGTTTTTGACCTGTTGCGTATCGCATAGAACCTTTGCTGTGCCATAAAACACGCATAATCGTAAAATTTCGTCTGACGTTTTGGGAATTTCAATTTGTTCACTAATCCCAGGTAGTTTCGATGTGCGCTCTGCGGCCATGGCGCTAGCGTTTATTGCCAAGTAGTGTGAAGACATACGAGTAGGCCTCACCAACTCTAGTGTTGTTGTTGTTATTTTAGTGGCTGCTTGCTGAGCACTACGAATTTGTTATTGTCATACATTTTTAATCAACTTAAATGTATTTAAATCTTGGGCAATTCTCTTGTTCGGCTTAGTAAATTCATTTACTGTGGATTAGTGTTTTGGTGTGTGGATACATTTGCTCGAAATGTCGTTACAGGCAATTTGCGGAAAGGCACAAGATTTATGTGTAGTGCAGATATTTCCTTGTACTTCATATGCTTCTGACACTTTAATTTGTGTTGGAGGGTCTGCAGACATATTTCCACTCACTTCCATATGGTAAAGAAAAAAATTATTATTCAAAATTACAATATTTAAATTAAAACAAATTTTTTTATATATCACATTTTTACAATATTTTATACTTTAAGCAAGTAAAATTGATTTCGTTATAGAACTTAACACGAATTATTTTTACATAAAATTAGAAGCCAATGCGTTGGTCGTTTCACTACAATTTAAATTAAAATAAATTATTTAAATATATTTAGTAAAAAAATAATATGGATTATGTTAAAATTGTTACATTGTGCAAGAACAGAAAGCAAATACTGAAATGTCGTTTGAAAATTTCATACTGAACAAGTTATCTCCTTGAGCTCATAAAAGACTCAAAGATTTGTTGTCATTTATACTAATCAAGTTCTCATATTCCTACAGATACTCTCAATATTATATTTAATTTACAGCCTATGAATATGCATTTGAATTTCTAAGAGTGAAAAGTATGCTTTCGCGCTCCTATAAGTAATCTCCAAATTATATTAATATTTCCGCCTATAAATATGTATCTGTAAGTATGTAGCTGCAAAAAGATTGACAGCGATAATTATTTTTTAACCCGTTGTACTTCAGACATAGGTAATTGTTAGAAAAAAACCATTAAGTATCGATTACACCTAGGTTATAAGAATTTATTACTAAGACAACTTAAACAAAGTTGGGTATCTCAACTTCAAGTTGGGTTTAAGAGAATCTCAAAAAATTTTGTAAAAAAGCCTTTTTAATTCCTTCACAGATAGCTATACTATGATAAAGTGTGTATGAGTTACTGTGCTCGTAATTAAACATCATAAAGTTATACCGATTATCGGAATACTGTAGCACTTCTCAAACAGAAGTATATTTTACTCGAAAATCAATGTATAACATATTAAGTTTGCACTTGTTAGATACTATATTTCTAAAAGATGATCGCAGTTACTCTTCTAAAAACGTACTCAAATGCGAGGAGTGTATTTAGTTACTGCAGATCAAAAACAACTCAATACATTCAATCTTCAAACCACCAAAACTTCTATAAATTAAACCTACTGTATACTAAACAATCCTGCATATTGAATGTTCACACCTCCTGTACTGTAAAAATAATAATGAGCATTGCCCTTACCTTACATAAAATGTATATCTAATTCTTATTTTTTCACAATTCCTTTCATATCCATCATACTTGACTATTACACTTCCATCACATGTCGTTCCAGTCTTCCCTCCGTCTGCATCCAGCGAGCTATTGCCTTTTACTTCTATTGCCCTTCCATGAAAGAGCTAATGTTAACCGAATATTTTCTCATTCTCTCATTTGATTTGCATATGATCTTACCAATTTCAAGGTCGATCAGACTTTGAGTTTTTCTTTGCCATAATATTATCTATATCTCTTTCAATTTCTTTGGTTTTGTATGTTAGTTTCTGTTCAACGTTTCTTTCCGTCAACATCGTTTCAGCTAGATATCCAATAAATAAACATCTCGTGGTTAACCGTTCTTTTCTATATATTTTAATAATGATAATCTGTTCAGTTATATCAGATTATTTGAGACTGGCTGGTTTTCCTTTGAGGTATAACAAGATTTCTGGAATGGAAGTTTCTGTCCTTATTAATAGATAAACTTGTTTATCCGTTTGCTTGCGGTTATGTGCACTTTTCAACATCTTCTGAAAATGGTATGTCAATTTATAAATGCTCTTTTCAATATATTTTAATAATGATAATGTAGTAACTTATATATTATTATACTATAATAATGTTTCTGGTATGTGAGTTTCGTCCTCACCAATAGATAAACAGACGTTTGCTTGCGGTTAACTGCGTTCTTTAAAATATTCTAACAAAGAATATTAGTTAAAAATTTATTGTTAATTTATATTAGATTATTTGTGGTTGCCTGGATTTGATATAAGCCAGGAGCAGTTGTCCGGGATGGAAGCTTCTGTCTTTAACTGCATTCTTCAAAATATTCTAATACAGAATATTATTTAAAAATTTATTGTTAATTTATATTAGATTACTTGTGGTTGCCTGGATTTGATATAAGCCAGGAGCCGTTGTCCGGGATGGAAGCTTCTGTCTTTAACTTCATTCTTCAAAATATTCTAATACAGAATATTGTTTAAAAATTTATTGTTAATTTATATTAGATTATTTGTGGTTGCCTGGATTTGATATAAGCCAGGAGCAGTTGTGTAGGTTGGAAGATTCTGTCTTTATCTGACATAAGGAATGCTTTATCTGGGGATTTCCGCCCATATATTCGAAATATAAAAAGTCTTTTGTCTGACTACAAAGATGAAATACTCATGCTCTTTTAATTATATAGATCCGTAATAACTTGAATGGAAGATATCTAAAATAATATTATCTTAATTGTGTGGGTATACATTGATGTATTATTGTAGAAAGTATCATAGGAATGTGAAAGATTACTATTTGCTGCGTAGTTACTACATATGTCGTTAATTTTTTAAAAAAGTTTTAGAGCTAGAACCAATAAAATCTACAGACGTAATTAAGATTTATAATGATTCCTTTGAAATTATAATATCAATTAGAGTTCAAAACAATAAATCTTGTCAGGATTTAATATGATTTCGATAATATATACTAATGACATTATATATTATGATTGTGATTTGTTATATATATAATGATATAATTCATTATATATATAATATATCATCATTCATTAATTAATTATATTAATTTTTTTTTGTATTCAAAACAGTATATGTACTAGAAGTATATATTTATTTTCTTCATATTATTGAAATAAAGGTGCTTTATGTTTCCATGCTTACAATTTACTCTTAGTTTGAAAAAAGACGATAACACGTATATGGGTAATTCATACAGTTGGGCCATTAAATTTATATATAGGATTGCCTTTCGTATAATAGTATGGTATGAATTTACGTTATACACATGACTTAATATAATTGTACGCCATATACACTACAACAATACTAACTGTACTTATAGCTACAGTTTTATATACTTATAGATCACAGCAATATATATAACCCTTTTGTTTTCGAGGTCACCAAATCCTTTATTTCCGCAGTTTGTTTTACTTAAGCGTTATTAGTGAAGTAATTAACAAAATATGTTCAGACAAAGGTACAAACGCACCTACCACGAGAAGATTTCAAACATTTTCCAGGAAGAGAAAGAAAAGAATTTTTGTAGAAAACAAAAGATATTGCAATGGAATAAATGTGTATATATAATGCAAATTTTTGAAGATAGAAAGATAAAAGAGAGATACGTGATAGAAAGAACATAACAAAATAATTCAGCAGTAAATATGAACTGTGAATATCATAATATCGAAGCATAACATACTAAACCGGATATACCGAATAACATATATTAAATCCGTCACTTATATTGTATCTTATATATAATATAATATTTTTATCACCTTTACGATTGAAATTCATGTAACCATGATTGAGCTACATCGATTTAAAACTTTTAGGAGCAAAAAGTAATAATTTCCATTTAAAATATTAATTTCACGCTTATCATTAATGCTAAACTGAGTTTATCTATTGTTAAGAAATATGCTTGCTCTTGAACTATAGCCCTATAGATGGAAACAATAATGAACTGATGTACGACCTACAACCTACAACTATAACCACTTAGTATATTTTTTATTATTTTTTCTAATTTATCAACATCTAATTGATCTTGATCAATCAGATCTTGATCTGGTTTGAGCTAGATGTAATATTTAATACAATTCAATAATTCGGATAAAACATTCAAAAACATAATTCTTTTCGTCCCAAATTTTTTTTTCAAGACTGTATTGCTGGATAACCAAAAATTTTGGTTAGATAAAAAATATAACTTATTTATGGACCATTCTATATATGTTTATCAAATCAATAAACTAACGTTAGAAAGTATTTCACAACAAAAATAGTGATCAATAAGGATTGAATACCATGTTTCCTTTGTCTCGTTTAGGCAGTTTACTCA